TTTTTAACCCGTAGCACAGTGCTCATCCGTAGTAGGAGCCCAGGGATGGTGAGTGAGTCTTCAGTAACGGCTGGTACAGTTGATGTAGGTACACAGAACAGGGCTGCTTGTCTCTCTGAGAAAGTCAGGAGAGGCTGATGAGAGGAGCCATCAGCTGAGCTAAACTGAATTTGCCAGATGGATAAGCCTTAGAGGAGATTCAAAGAGGTGGATTTTCAGAGACCGGGTGATGAATTATTAAAATCTCGGAATATATTAATGGCAAGTGGTTAGGTACAGAGACTTCTTTACTAAATCCCAAAGTATTAGGATGAAAAAGCTCTTTTTGAATCTTCAACAAGATTGGAATAAGTCAAATAAAAGTAAGATGTTCTGTATCATTGGACAGGTAATAAATGCATGGGCCTCATTGTTCCCAAGAAGTACTGCCTTGAAATACTGTTAATTTTAATAAAGAGCTTCATTCTTGCATTCACGGACAACTTACTGAAGCAGCTGCTAGGGTCAAATGCTGTAATAGGTGGTATATGTTCAGTAGTGAGCAAAACGATCAGAGCCCCTGCCTGCATGGGGCTTCCAGTCAAGGGGAAAACGGACGTAAAGCAAACAAGCCCTGCGGATGCACGACTGTGAAGGATGCCGGTGGGGAGGTCTAAGAGGCTGACCTAAGTGAGATTAGGGATGAAATGAACAGTGATTAGAGGTTAATTAGGCAGACAGAAAAGATATACAGAGTTCGAAGGCAAAATGGTTTGGACAAATTGATGAACAGAGCCCTAACATGTCTCAAATAAGATGCTGTCAGGTGTGCCTGGGGGGTTCAGTTGGTGAAGCATCTGCCGGGGTCGTGATCACAGGGGCCTGGGGTGGAGCCTGCCTCGAGCTCCTTCACTGGGCTCCCTGCTCAGCAGGGAGCCTACTTCTCCCTCTGCTGCTCCCCCTGCTTGTGCTCTCTTGCTTTCTGTCAAATAAATAAATAAAATCTTAAAAAAAAAAAAAAAAAGTATTGCCAAGAAGGAGACCACACCTGTCTCCAGGTGGCCACTGCACAGAGTCCTAAATGGAATGGCTGCTGGGGCAGAGCCAGTATCATTTGCTAAACATTGTGCTAGTTGCTGGGGGAGTAATAAGACACATTCGAGAACCTGCCTTGCCTGCCCAGGGGTCTTCCTCACTCTGTGAAATGTAGTCAGTTAGGAGGTAAGTACAAGGTCCTGTGAGAGCATAGATTCTGAGAGGTCAGCCAACTTTGTCTTGTGGGGGATGTTTGGGATAAACCTGGGTTTTCAAAAATCAGTGAAAAAGGAAGCCATTTCAGGAATGGGCTGCACAACAAAATGCAGGTGTGAGGAGCATGGCACATTTGCAGAGCTGCGGGGAGTTTCACATGGCTCTAATACAGCGTTTATATGAGCGTCGAAGGAAATAATCAGGCATAAAAGGCAGAGAAGCCAAATGTTAGATATTTATATGCATCAAGGAATTTGAACTCTATCCTGCAGGTGTTTCTTGCAAGGGGTGAGGGAGAGATGAGATGGTGGCATCAAAAGGGAGTGATTTCATCAGATTTTTGTTTTATAAAGGCTGCTCTGGTGGTAGCACAGATGGATGGAGAAAGTAGGCCTGGAGGAAGGGGCACTAGTTCTAAGGATAGTGCAGGGATTCTGGGGACAACTGGCAGGGGTCTGATGGAGCAATGGCCGTGAACATGGGGAGAATGGTCAGGTGGAGAAGCTCTTTGGGGATGGTATCTCTGAGACTTGAAGATTTCATGGTGTTGAGGGAGGAGTGAGGAAAGAAGGAGGTGAGCATGATGCCTGGTGATAGTCTGGGTGTCAGGGGGGTATGTGTGACACCATTCACCAAGGCAGCACCACGTAGGAGTGACAGTGTTTGTGGAGGACAGCTGTCCGGATGCAGCCTGGCATGCTTACACGGAGGGATCTGTGGAGCTGTCCAGTGGAGATGTCCTAGAGAGCTCTAACTGGACCAGAGACAGGAAGACGTGAGATCCGACCAGGGCCAAGAGCCATTCATTTCTTTTCTTTTTTAATCAGCTGTTTATTCTAGAATAGTTTTTGATTTGCGGAAAGGTTGTAAAGATAGTACAGAGTTCCGATGGACTTACCATCTCTTTAGGTCCCACTTCCACCTCTTCCTTGAGTTTTTGCCATGGTGGAATGGGTATCTCGTTTTCACAGAGATTCCCATATATATGCGGGACAGGCTTATGTGGTTCAGAACTCAAAGCAACATAAAGACAAAATAAAAAATCTTCCTCTAACCCCTGCCCCCATTTGCACTGTTCCTCCCACTCCCTACAGATAGCTATTTTTATTAGTCTCATGTGTACTAATCCTTCCAGTTTCTTTTTAATGTAAATGCAAGCAAATAATAAGAATATACATTGCATGTGTCCTCCCTTTCTTATACAGAAGGTGGCATATTATGGGCATTGCTGTGTCTCTTGCTTTTTCCCAAACAGTACACTATGGAGATCAGTACAGAACTGCCCTGAGAAGGTTGCAGGCTGGCCATGCAGGGCTACTGGGCGCTCGAAATGTGGCTGGGGGATGAAAGCCAGAAGTTCAAATTCAGTTTAAAGTTAGATTTTAAAATGGCAGCAGTGTAACTTACGTTCCCATTAAATGTTATTTTGGTGGAATGACATTCCACTTTAACCATCAAAAATAGTTTCCAAATTGAGATGCGGTATATGCGTACAATACCATGGGGGTCACAGACTTAGTTTATATTCTCTGTTTTGATACTACCTTAATGTTTTACAGTGTTAAATTTGAAATAACAGTTACATGTAGAAATAACGTTTCTGACATAGAAGTTAAACAAAATATTTAAATTTTACCAACTTTTATTTTTAAAATGTGGCTATTAATTAAAAATTACACGTGGCTCAAATTACATTTCTACTAAACAGCACTGATATAGAAATTTATTTCTTACAGTTGGATACTGCTGTAAAGAGCACCATATTTTATTTAACCAGTCCACTGTTGATGTATACTTGACTTGTTTCTAGTCTTTTACTGTTAAAAATGCAGAAATCCATAGCCTTGTCCTTGCATCACTTCACACACGCATTTCACAGGTGGATCTGTGAAATGAATTCCCAGGATGAGAGTTGCTGGGTTAAAGAGTATTAAATTTGTAATGTTGATCCTGACAAATTACCCTCCATAGGAATTGCACCAGTTTGGGGACACCTGGGTGGCTCAATTGGTTAAGCATCTGACTCTACTCAGGTCTTGATCTCAGGATTGTGGGTTCAAGCCCTGCATTGGGTGTGAGTTCATGCCCAGCAGGGAGCCTACTTAAAAAAAAAGTTGTACCCTTTTAAATAGCTTTGTTGTGAAGACAGGTTTACCACCAAAATGGCTTAAACATCAACATCAGGACTTTGTATCTTTTGATGTATATGAAAATCAGTTGCTCTTATCTGGTCATCTTCTTGGGGACTTCCATGTCTTGGTGGCCGTGCTTTCCATGCTATAATCCTTATTTTCTTCTTTCCAGCACATTCCGTCATTTTGAAAATTATTTCTAAATAACTTAAATGTATTTTGAAATTAAAAAAATGGGAAAAACCTTACCTGGCATTATATGAAAACTGAAATATCCCATCAGTCTTTGCCTTAAGGTTAAAGGTAAAAATAAAACAATAAATATATAGTTTGAAAAGTAAAAAAATAAAAAAAGAGTTGTACCACTTGTGCTTCTGCCAGTAATGTGTGTGAAGTGCCAGGGTCCTTGCATACTGACATTTTATGCTACACACATGTTTGGGAGATCTAATAGTGAATGCATTTCTTTTTTGCCAATTCTGAGAGTTTTAAGAAGAAATCACAGATGGTTTGCCTAACTTCTTTTTTCATTAAAAAAAAAAAACAGTATTAATGACGAAACTCTTACAATCAACATATTAGAAGTGACTTTTTCTTTTTTAAATGAAAATGCGGAGGAATTAACATCCAGTTTTCCCAGGCTCTAAATTTCTCTGGAAGTTGTGGTTTCTCTGTATACAGACTTAGGAAAAGAGAGGGCAGGAGGGTTTGTATTTGTAAGGGACGACATTTTCTTCTGTTTTCTAATTATTGGCGTTTTTTTCCAATTTCTCCTCAGATCCCTTCAGCAGCCTTCCCTGGCTGCGGTGCATGAACAGTATAAGGGAGACAAGGGAGGTGGGCAGGGGGCAGGCCGGATTCACGTACATACAGCCTTACCATCTCTTTAGTTTGGTTTGGTTCCCAGGATCAGTTTTACTGAGTGCGGAACGCATTCTCACTTCACGGGCTTCCTAAACCGGGAAATCCACTGACAACATAATTGGAGCTTATGAGTGCACACAGTGGTTAAACAGCCAATTCTGTTTACTTGATTATTAATAAGCTGCACACAGTTCATCTTTCTACCGTTAGGCTCTAACTGCTGTCTCTCTTTTGAGGCTAGTGTGCCCTCTACTGCCCTCTCTCCCCCCCTTTTTTTTTTCAGACTGAAGAACGAGACATTCAGCATCCAAAAACAAGTTGCTTCAATTTTTCCATTCATAGGAATCTGAAAATAAGATTCTCACGAAGAGAACTCACTCTCGCTGTGTAGTTTGAGATCTGTCAGACAAGCTAATAGTATATTGGAAACCCTTAGCTTTCAGGAACATAAGCTTGTATTTTGGCAAGTCCAGAGATGTATTTTACAACAGCTATGACTGTGGACATTTGCTTTAGTATTTCATTGATTTTCAATATGAAAAGGTGAAGCAGTGAAAGCTGAGACTCTCACTGTGGGTCAGGCAGGCAGAGCACTGGGCTCAGAGACTTACTGGAAGGGTCATCCTTGGGAGCAGGTGAAATTGAGCCGTTTCTATATTGTGCTTACTTTCGGAATGAATGTACAATTTTCTAATAGGAGGCTGCTGCTCCAGAGCTGTTCTTCCTGTCCCTTTTTGCTTCTATAGCTAATTGTGCTTAATTGTTTTGTTTCAGGAAGGGTTTTCACTCATTGGTAGCAAGAACTGGTTGAAGATCGTGAGACGCATGGATTGTCTGTTATTTGGAACAACAATAAAGGCAAGAGGCCCCGTGGCCAACTGTTTTAAGCGAACGATCATACCCTTCTCATCTAAATGTGCACAGGGGGGTGAGTGTGGGAGCTTCTCTTTGCAGGTGAAATGGAACCGGGAAGATCACGTATGTTGAAGGACTTGCCCTCTGAGCAGAATGTGAACCCCGGGCTGCAGAAAGGCAGCAGCCCGCCAGTGAGAGAATGTTGCTGAGGACCCAGGGCTTTGGCTGATCTGTCAGCGCCCATCTGACACAGTGGCGGCCCAGCCGTGCCCCATTCCCCAGGCACATGCTGGGGGGACGCGGGACATGTCATTGTTTGTCTCACTATTTTCGAATGCTTTACTGAGAATGTCTTTTTTTTTTTTAAGATTTTATTTATTTACTGAGAATGTCTTTTTTTTTTAAGATTTTATTTATTTACTGAGAATGTCTTTTTTAAGATTTTATTTATTTACTGAGAATGTCTTTTTTTAAGATTTTATTTATTTACTGAGAATGTCTTTTCATTTTCCCTCTTTAATAGTAAAAAATATCCCTTTTATTTGCTTTCTGACTGCATTAAACATCAAGAATGATTCTCATCAAAGACACATACAGACTAATCACCTGGATTATTTTCTTTCAGAAATAACTATAAAAAACCAATCTGTTAACATTCACCAAGTAGGTAATATTGGAATTTAGGTGAAAGATCCTAATTTTTCATGGGCTCATAGACTGAGAGTTGGAAGAGCACCTAACAGAGCATCTAAGGGAAAGGGCTTAGCCTGGGATCCACAGACCCTCCAAAGGGTCCCTCAAGAATTCAGGAGACCATGGATTTTCACTGACCTCTAATTGGAATTTATCATTTCCTTCAATTATGAATGTAGGCGTCAGACACAGTCGTATTAGATCTTTGCATCAATAGAAATCAGCTAATTTCACCACATCATGGTTGTTTCTGAGAGCTTCAGTGTCAGCCGTGCTCAGCACTGCCGCAGAATTATGGTGCTAATTAGGCCCGCTGTTAGATCTTTTTATTGCCTATGTTAATGAGCATATATACTGTTAGTTCACAAATTAGTGTTTTAATATTATAGTAGCCTACTTCAGGATAATTGGTTTCCTTTATAATCTAATGTATTTTATGTGATTGCAAATGTTTTGAGAAGTGGTCCGCTAGTTTCACCAGACTGCCAAAGGGGCCCGCGCACATACTCGGAAACCCTATCGCACATTTTCAGGAGTTCCTGTTTTCATTTTATGTGCGAGGGAATGGAATTCAACTTCCACTACTAGTCCAGGTTATAAGTAGCTGTCAGAGAGCCGGGCCACCCACTGGCCTTCTGACTCCCGACCCTGGCCCGTGTCACACCAGAACAACACGAGTTTGAACTCGCAGGTCTGCAGATACACAGAATTTTTTTTTTCTTTTCGATACTGTACAACACTGTAAATGTATTTGCTCTTCCTAATGATTTTCTTAACATTCTCTTTTCTCTAGTTTACTTCATTTTAAGAATACAGTATATAGGGGCGCCTGGGTGGCTCAGTGGGTTAAAGCCTCTGCCTTCGGCTCAGGTCATGATCCCAGGGTCCTGGGATCGAGCACCCAGTCAGGCTCTCTGCTCGGTAGGGAGCCTGCTTCCTCCTCTCTCTGCCTGCCTCTCTGCCTATTTGTGATCTGTCTGTCAAATAAATAAACAAAATCTTAAAAAAAAATACAGTATATAATAGATGCAACATACAAAGTGGGTTGATCGACTGTTCGTGTTACCGATAAGGCTTCCTGTCAACAGTAGGCTACTAGTAGCTAAGTTTTGGGGAAGTCATAAGTCCTACTTGGGCTTTCAACTGCGCAGGGGTCAGTACCCCTCACCTCTTACTCTACAGTCAACTATATATGTCTTTTAAAAGTTACACCAAGTTTTTAAGTTTTTTCCTGATATATATTACTGTTAAAAATTTGAACTATGAAGAACAACATAAAAACCAAGCAACTTGACCATTCCAAAATAATTATTACTAACATTTTGAAGTTCTTACATGATATATTCTTTCAGTTAGGATAGCATTCAAATGCATGTGACAGAAAATCCAGGCATAATGGTCCCCAAAATTAAGGGTTTATTTTATTTTTTTTGACTAGATGACAAATCCAGAAACAGGCAGTTGCTAGCATTGGCTCAGCAATTTCACAGTACCAAGGTCAACATCTTTGCAATTCCCCTGGCCTCTCCCTCGCATTTACAAAATGGCTGCTGTAGCTTGACCGAATTTCTATTCAAGGAAAACCAGCTTCTTCTGTCCCTTTCATAAGGAAAGCAAAAACTTTCCTGTAGGGCTTCTTTCCACTTTCCACAAAAGAATAGGTCTTCTTACGTCTCATGGACCAGAACAGTGTAATGTGGCCAATCTCAATTTGCTGACATTAGCAAAATGAGCATTTAGCTTTCTTAGCCTCTTATATATATCTGCTCATGGCAGTGAACAGTGTCTACCGCACGGATAATTTATACCTTTGGGTTTGTATTACACGGAGTGTTTTGTTCCTGCTGTCTTGTCATGGAACATGACATCAGGAACACGACCCTGAGTCACGACCTTCTTAGTCTTTGAAAATGTGATTCTTCAGGGCTACATAGCATTTTATTGTTTACATTCAACATGATTCAGCTAATTCCCAAGTTTTCACTATTATAAAAATGTTTTGATTTTCATAAGGATTTATTTACAGGGTTCTGGAGATAGGAGTCCTGGAAGTATGTGTATTTATTTTGTCAATGTGCCCTCTCTATAAGTCACCCCATTTCTACAGCACTAGTGAATTTAAGAATGCTCATTTATCCAAATTCTTTCCAATAGGGGGATATAATTTAAATTTTAAAGCTAGCTTCCAGTCTGATTGGCAGAAAGGAACATTTTCCTTTAATTTGCATTTCTTAAGAACTAATGAGAATGAACCTTTTTTGTGTATTTGTTAGCCATCTGTATTTCTTCTGTGAATCACCTCCCTACATATATATATACATATATATATGTAATTTATATATATGTATATAAGTCATATAGATGTAGATTTTAGAAATATTTAAGGTTAAGATCCTTTTGCCCACTGTTACTGTGAATGGTATTCTTTATTCCAAAGATATTTCTAGCTGCTTATTATTAGACTTTTTCTGAATTAGTTGAAATTTGGCTTCCTGACCAAACTTTTATTAACTCTGATTTGTTAATTTTTTAATTTCTAGGAAAGTGATTTTTATAATCTACAGTGACAATTTTATTTTTCCCAATAGTTTATACTTACTACTTTTCTCACCTTACTGAATTACCTAGACTTTTCAGAACACAAATTCTATGGTTATACCATCATCCTTGACCTCTTGTTGACCTGGACAGTTGTGATTAGACGTTAAGAACATTTCTAGCTGTTGATCAGATATTCTTTACCATGTAAGGGAGATAGTCTTTCAGTTAAATTTTATTTACTAATACTTTTATCAGGATCACATATTAAATTGATTTATCAAAATATTTTTGATACCTTTTCAAGATCATGTCTTTTTTTTTTCCCCCTTTTTGTAATCTGTTGGCTTGGTATAATAATATTGAACCAACAGATTCTTTTTTTGGCCTTACCTAGAAAAGGGTATCTTTGGTGTTTCTTGCCTTGGATAACTTTTAGTAACCAAGTGTTGTGTAACAAACACCATTAAATTGACAAAATGGAAGAAGTGTTTTGAAAATAAAGTTTTCATTCTTAACAGCAATTAAATATAGCTTAAATCCTGTGGGTAAATAAAAGATTATATTTCTTTTCTCTCTGGATGAAATAAGCAGATTGTTTAAGTTCTGCTTATTTGGAAATTGGGCTTCTTTTTTTTTTTTTTCAGTAATTCTGATAAAAATGCTCCAGGTTAATCGGCTAACAGTCAACATTTAGTTACCTATCTGCAGGGAGTTTGGTTTAAAGGAGTAAACAAACCACTCTCCTCTTTACCCCCAGGAACTCACTGAATCCTGTTTTCATGATTTTGGAGTATTGCCTCTTGATTGCAAAGTAAAGAATCAAAGAACGTGTCAAAGCCCCTTCACTCATTCAGTCCCTTTTTTTGTACTCCCCTCTCCTTCCTTTTCTATGGCAGAGGAATTCTCTACCAGTGGTGGGGAAAACTGCTTTGGTTGGGGGTCCCAGTGGTGATGGGAAACTATACAAACAGGTCTGGGCAAGGAATCTAAAACCAGCAGGAAAACCCAGCAGGTTGATGAGGCCTTGTGTCTCCTTGGCTCTCCTCCCACGTGGCGCTAACCAGACCCACGTCTTACATGTGTGCTGGTACCGTGTGACATCAGCCAGAGAGCCTGTATGACAATCGCCAAACGCAGATGTTCTTCATACCTGTGAGTCAGAATTTACTGAGCACGATGCCTCCCAGAAGGTAGAGCCTGGTTTTCTTGTGAGTACATGATCAGTGTCCAGAGACAAGCCCTCAGCCTTTACTTTTGTTTCCTCAAGGCGTCTGTGTGAAGGGAGTTTTCTGCTTATTGTAATAACTTGAAATTAAGTGTTCTGAAGTAGGGGAGAACAACCCAACATGTAAACCATCACTTAAAACATAGTCATTTTGAGCTAATCTTCTTAGATGATAGACTGTATATTTAGGGCGGCTCATGGCTGTTGACATATACTTGAAAACTTTTCATTTCACCACAAGGAGCCCTTTCTCACTTTTAATTATGGCATAAGAATAAATCTTATCAAGATTTTCAACCCAGGAGTCCTTTTTGTTAACCCGGTGGCAGCTTTTCCTTTGTGGCACCCCATGGCATTGAGGACATGGGATGGCGATGTAGCTCATTGTCACATTTTTTCCTGATGCACCTCAGTTTTATCTTGAGTCTGCATGCACTGAGGTGATATTTCTGGCTTCAGATGATAAGCTCAGATTCCCTCTGAGAATTTTACAGAAGCAAACTTGGAGCAAGGCTTCAGTTAGGCTGTCACCCGTACAGCTTACCCCATCATTCTTGGAACTGCATTCTAAAGAAACGCTAACTGTCCAGACTCCTCCTTATGCACACTCACATACAGATAGCTCTAACCCTACATGATTGGTATGAGATTGTCGTCCTGCTGATGCGCTCAATAATTGTCTGTTTCTGTACACAGCCTTTTGTCCAGCCCCGAGGTACAATTTTTAATGTGATTGCTTGTCAAAGATTCGATAATTACAGAGTCGGCATGGCAATAGCTAATACAGAGGTCTTCGTATAGAGCTTAAACTAGAGTAAGCTGGAAATGGCTTATTAATTGTAAACAGGAAAGCAGCTCAATTTCACAAAAAAGACTCCTAGAATTACCAAAAATGGAATGTATAGGTCTCTTATCAGTTCTTTCTCCTTCCTCAGGGAAAATCAGCTTTTAGTTTCTCTTGACAATTTGGGGATTATTCATCCAAGAGAAAAATAGCTAAGGAAATGAATACGCAATCCAGAAAAGAAAAATATAGGGGACCAATAAGTATAAGTATTCGACCTTATTTGTAATCAAAGAAATGAAATTCTACAATAAAAAGTCTGTGTTAACCTAGTAGAGTAAAAAAAGTTTAAAAGAGTAAGAATCTCCAGTGTGGAGGGCACAGTGGGCATAAACTGATAGTATCTTGTCCGGAGCAGTTAGGCATGGTACCAAAATACCAAGACCTTTTGACCAGGCGAATTTGTAGGAGAATGCCTACCACAGCTCTGTGCTTTATAATAGGACAAAAGGCTGTAAGTAACTTAAATGTTTGTCATTAGGGGGACAGTTAAATAAAGGACTACTCTTCAGTCATTAAGAACAATGAACTTCTATTTTTTTTTTTTTTTTTAGATTTTATTTATTAGAGATCACAAGCAGGCAGAGTGGCAGGCGGGGGTGGGGGTGGGTGCAGGCTCCCTGCTGAGCAGAGAGCCCGATGTGGGGCTCGATCCCAGGACCCTGGGATCATGACCTGAGCTGAAGGCAGAGGCTTAACCCACTGAGCCACCCAGGTGCCCCTAAACTTCTAGATTTATATTCTTAGATTACTATACAGTAGTATAGTCCAACATATCCATGTAATACATAACCCACGATGGATAAGTGCGTGTATATGTTCTAAGATAAGTATATATTAGAGTATTCCTTTTCGTATTTTTTCCTTGTTGTAAGGGTAGTGATAATGGGTTATTTTACACTTAGGAAAAAGATTAAATGAATTACAAAATGAAGAGAACCCAACAGTGGCATTCAAGTGGAAGCAGTGTCCATTCTTCTAAACATGATGCCTCCTCATCACTTAGACATGCCCAGACTTTTCTGTAATGTAAACATGTGGCTTTGCCTAATGGCTTTATCTAAAAAATTTAAATAGTACCAATTGGGAGCAGACAAACTAAGGGACTTCTGCCTGTGGGAACTCAAAGGATTTTGTTAGCTGTGATTGGAAACATTCTCCCACTAGCAGAGTCATTCATGTATGTAATAAATAGAAAGTACTGTCACTGTGCTAAGTTAGCGTCTGGGTAACTTTAAAGAAGGACCTGGACAAAGGCACACCATACATACCCTGTCTGGTACGTGTCAGCCCCTCTAAACAGGCAGAATGCTAGACTAGCAAAACAGGAAGCTACTTCTACTGAAATAATGGGTTTATTTTTGTTGTTACAATTGTAATGCAGTTCTGTTTTTAAACTTACAATCAAGTGAGTTTGATGTAGTTGTCAGACTTTTACAACATCAACTGCATCTCTCCCACATTAGCTGATCTGCCAAGGAATGGAACTCATACAGCCCATGAGAGGGAACACGGGATTTGTGTGCAGTCTGGCTTCATTCTGGACCTGGAGCCCTGCAGACTACGATGCTGTGATTCACTCCCTCTTCGCATCTGCCTGTCTCCTGTCCCCCGTCTTGTTGGTCAGCTTCACTGGCTGAACGTGCCATCTCCCTGGTTTGCTCTTTTATATACTTAGGTTTAGAAAAATTTTGTTGAGCCGGCACTGATTTTCGACCTGAGAAATTAGAAGCTATGAAATCTTTATTCCAAAGTAAGACAAAACACTGATCTTTTACTGCAGTCAGTTGTGACTTTCCTGGTCTGTATGATATGGGGTTTCCATTCCTGCTGATGTCAGTTCCCTGAAGGAGATGAATTTAGTAGGAGTGGTTCCCCAAAGGGGGAAGAAAGGAAATTACTGGCTTTTCTCTCCCCACAAGAACAATCTAGAGAAATTAATCCTTTGTCCACACCTGTCCCCTGCAAGCAAAGGGCAGCACTCCCTAGAAGACGGCACAGTAAGGAAGTGTATGACGAGGGTGACTAAGGCTGACTTTGGATTTGTCCCACAGAACAAGAGCCGCATGTTCCGGGTGCAGTTTAGTGGAGGGTCCAAGGAGCAGGCGCTGGAGCACTGCTGCAGCTGTGTGCGGAAGCTGGCCCAGTACGTGCCGGTGCAGGCGCCCGACCCAGTGGTCCAGGAGCTCCCGCCGAGTCCCCGCCCACTGACGGCGGGTGAAAGCCAAGGGAAGGACTGTGTGCGGCATGTCCCCTTGCAGCAGGGGGTAAGTAAGCAAGTGTGTTGGCTCTGGGAGAAACCTGACAAGGTATTCTTTTGAGGGGTGGGGGCAAAATCACAGTGGAATTTGTTGAGTCTGTCTGGTTTGTAAGTTAAAAGGTACCTAATGTTAAGTGACTCACTTAAATTGAAGGGTGACCGTCACTGTAGCTACCTAGCATCCTAGAAATTAGAGCAGCCAGGAGTCCCGGCTGTGTTCTGGGTGTCACTGTAGACCGTGGTCCTCAACGTATGGTCCCTGGACTCTTCCCTGAGACCCTTTGCCGGGGTCCATAAAGTCATCCTTGCTTTTATAATAATATGACATCATTTGCCCTTTCCGTTGTTGTATTTGTGTTACCTGACAAAAGAATTGAGCAAAGCTACTGTCACCTTAGCACAGATCAAGGCAGTGACATCAGACCGTGCAGGGAGTCAGCACAGTCTTCCGCAGTCACTGGCGGCGAGAACTCACGCACCCACCTTGCACTCGGAAGCGAGGTGGGGAGGCACCTGAGCCGCCCCACTGCGCCCTGAACCAGCCCCGCTTCCGGAGCGCCCCTGGAGCACTGTTAGCGCCGGAAACGGCGGACAGACCGCCACAGCCCAGGCTCACCACCCAGGTGAACCTGGTATTCGGTGGGCATTTTCTCAAATGAAGTGAGTCTGTCCTTATCGGAAAATGACTAATAGTATTTATCGACAGTGATGAAATTAAGCTTCTCAAGCGAAGACTGGAATCTTGGAACAACTTGTATCTGCTGCTCGACTGTCACAGTTCCCGACCCAGCCGACTTCTCTGATAGTGCTACTTGTGAACATGGGTGTGTTTCTTTTTTTAGCTATAATTATATGACAGAAAGTTTCAACATTTTGGAAGATCTGTATAGTCCGGTGAACCAGTATTTTCCAAGTGACCAATCCACGATGCTACAAAATCATGCATGGATAGAGATCTGGTCAAAGTGTACAAAATAGTCCCGTGGTTTTAATAACAGAAAGTGTAACAAGTTCATTGCTATGATTTCAGACTCTGTTAACAACTAACTTTTAAAGAACCTATCTTTTGTTGAGTTTTAATGTTCTATCAAAGAATATCCACCATTATCTGAAAAGGCTGTTTTAAGATACTTCTGCCTTTTCCACCAAATAGCTGTGTGAAGCCAGAGTTTCCTCATGTACCTCATCCAAAGCAGCAGATTGAATGTAGAAGGAGATACGAGAGTCCAGCTGTCTTCCATTAAGCAAGACATTCCAAAGATTTGCGAACTCATGACATTTTTGTTTTAGGAAATAGGTTTTTTTTTTTTCATAAAAACACTTCTAAGAACATACAATGGGTTCATTTTTAAAAATGACTCAGTATTTTAAATTATTGTTTCCATTTTTAAGAGATCAGAAATATATAATCCAAACAGAGGCTGTCTGAGGGCCTCAATAATTTATCTGTGTGTAAAGGGGTCTTGGGATCATAAGTCGGAGGATCACTGTTTCAGAATTTCTCCTGGAAGGACATTTTCTAGCATTTCGTTGGCCTGATCCCAAATGTTGTTAGCATAAGCATCTACCTGTGCTCTTGAGAAGAAATTCCAGTTTCAAGCTGAGTTTTTATTAATTTTCTACTTTGAGAAATTACTTTCCAAACCTGACTTTCTTCCCTTCGTCCTGTAAGAGCCCTCAAACCACTGGACTGAGACGGTTCATTGTTGCTGTTTTGCCACCAAGTTTCTGGTTCAGAATTTATGTAAGCTGAACATAAATTTACATTATTTTTCATAAGGTCTTTTTCTTTGAACAAGTGCTGACTTCCTCCTGGATGTGCTTAGTTTGCCAAGTAAGATTTTGTATTAGAATTCTTTCCCTTCGTCTGTTTCTGTCTGACCTTCTTTGAGAAGATGTCTTCATGCTAAAGCTCCATTTCTTAAAAACCCTGGATCTCGTTTCAGGGATTTTGCCACATCAGCTCCCGCTGTATTAAGAATCCCTTCCCTACAAATGGGATGGAGTGGTTTATTACTTAGTACTTTATTGCTCATAATCCTTTGCCCCCTAAATAGAATATCTTCTTTTGTTGGTTTCATTGATCCATTATGCGATTCAGATTATGGTACCCAGTGCGTGGGATGGGACAGGAAGCAAATAGGCTCCTAGAATCTGGGTCGTCTGGAATGCCTTATAAAGGGCAACAAAGATGCGTCAGGCTAGAACCTAACCAGGCTACACAATTATCTGAATAGAAGATAAACTGAGGCTATAGCATGGAGTAGCAAACACAGGCTGAGGGTTGTGAACTACAGAAGCAGATGGAGGCTCTCCCTCTCCGATTTTGAAGGCTGGTCCCAAATATCTAGGTAGAAGTATCCGCAAAGTGGCTAGAAATTTTTCATCTCTTTTCTTGATTCTGTCTTCAGGGACTTTTCCAAACTGTAGTTTGGTGTTATATGTGACGTGCTAGGACCACAGGCTGCGGCATCAAAATGGATCTGGGTTTGAATCCTGACCCTATTAGTGGCTGTGTGATCGTGGGAGTCCCTGAACCCTATCTGTAACACGGCAAGATGGAAACGTTCTATGTTTATGGATGTATATGTATATATATACACACACACAGATGTAGTACAACACCTGGCAAACATCTAGACAATGTCACTCATGACCATCACTGTCAGTACTGTTACCCCCCCAGATCGTTCCCTTGCAGATGGACAAGTTCAGGTGCTAGTTAGTTAGCCAGGATCACAACTCCAGAGGAGCCATAATAAAATGGAGTGTCTGAAGCTGCAGAGCAGAAGACAAGATAAAACCACTGGGTTAATTTGACACGGTGTAGACACCATGAAGCACTGCCTAGAACATTCTAGTCTTCCTAATGGCAAAACATTCCCAGGTTTGCCCGTAGCTGCTGTTGTGCAAATGTGGTACCATGTTCCCTTTCTCAGAATCCATCTTAAAGAGTTGCAAGCTGTGGCCAAGTTCTAGTCATCATGCTGCTCTCTTGTATTCAGGTGTGTCATCTTCCTAAGAACTACATACACACATGTATATGTATGTATATGTGTATGTGCATATATGTATATATATGCACATACATATACATATATATATGGGGGGGGTCTGAAATAGTTACCTTCTTTGCAGATAGAGATAATTCCATGTCTTTCTACTTCAAGCTCTTGAGTCCATTTCCCAGAGAATTTTGTTTTTACTTTACCTCATCCTTGTAATTTTGCTAACTGTGGCTTAACTGTTTCTCACCCTGAGAGTTTCTAAGCCAACCTAGTCCACCCCGAAGAGAGGGGCACAGGAAAGAGCATGTAGCTGCTCGGTGAACTCTCCTTTGTCAATACAAGTCTGGAAGAAGCAAACAGCAAGTTACTGTGTGCACAGAACCTTCTAAGTCTACACACTTGAGTGGAGGACAGTCTAAACCTGAGCCGCCCTACTAGCCTCAGGTGCTACCCGCACACTTGGCTACTGTTCAGTGTTTATGCAGCACCACATTTGGTTGATGTCTGTCCCAGTTGTCTGAGGAACATGATGTGAGCTGAGCTGGTACATATCCTAGGAAAGCGTCACACACTGGAGCCAGGCATGAGAGTCTGACTTTTATTTTCACACGTGAGGAAACTGAACAGAGAAAGGGGCTTTACCTATGTACTTCTGATTCGAGTCCCTTAACCTTTTTGCCATTTGTAGTACTCTTGACTAGTTTTCTCTTTGTTCCTTACTTCCTGTCACCCTACCTTCGTCTTTGATGCTTCCAGATGTACTTTTTTCTGAATACCTACTGACCAGTGATGGTCAGCTACCGCATAGGAGGAGACAAAATCTGGCACCCCTGACTTCTGGCGTCCAGAACATACTGCTGAGAGAGGCACCACCAGCTCACATCTCAGGTGGGCACGCCTGTGTGCGATAGCCACAGGTGGTCCGAGCCTTGGTGGACTTGCAGGTGTGTGACTAGGAAGGAGGGAGCAGGGCGTTGGAAACCGTGCTTTTAGGTAGAAGCAGCCTTCCAAGCCGTTCGGGCCTCGGGCCGCCTCCTACTCTGTGTGGATTTTATTTGCCTGGAACACATCCCCTGTGTTCTACCCAAACAGTCCCCTCACATAGTAGATTCTTGTGAAATGCATGGATTCTGGAGCATCTCCTACTTCCTACCTAGCATAGAGCCTCCCTTTAGCTCACCCCCCACCAAGAGCCTGAATTCATTTACCTGCTTCCATTCCAGCACTGCTTGGGTTGCATTATAATCACTGTTTCACTTGTTAGGTTCTCACTGGGCTGTAGGTTCTTGAGGGCTGGACCTCTGCCCTGTTCTCTGTGGCCCTTTCCCTTTCTCACCCCAGTGTCTAGTAGGCACAGACATTGTTGAATGAAGATACCTTGTTATTTTACTCAGAAGAACGCATTCTCTTAGAATACCTAAAAAGATTTTAAGTCTTATTAAAAGCATATGGTTATCTTGAAATTAAATGGTGTCCCCTCCCCACACGCACTGCCCCCCTTCCCCCTGCCCGGTTTGCTCTTCTGCTATGATGATGTATTACTTGAGTCATAACTCTCAGAAAGGAACAGATCATTACCAGAAGCTGGGCAGGTCGCCTGCCCTGTGGGACGAGCTTGTGGGCTCGAGCCAGGCCTCCAAAGCCTGGAGCGCATAGTGGTGCTGGACAGTGGGAAGTCCTAACAGCCTAGTAGTAGACATGGAGGAACACATACCAGGCACGGCGCGGGGAGCCTCAGACTGAAACTGTCTGTCCTCTACTCCCTCGCCCAGCTTAAACCAGGCACACTCCACGGGTGATGACTTTACACCCTTTACTGACACTTTCTTTTTACACAAGCAGACGTGCTGCCACTCCTGTGATGGCCGGTGGCATTTGCGATTACATTCAGCTCGTCCCCTAACTGCAGCCGTGTCCTTGCAGCCACCCCAGAAGCCGGAGAAGCCGCAGCCATGTGGACCGGCCAGCACGAGCGCTTCCGGAGGAAGGACCTCAGTGAGTCACTTAGCTCAGGTAGAGCCTATTTTCCTGTTGTTTTCCTTGGTCATGAAAACAGTGATCCTGAGGAATCTGCTTCCCCATGGTCACCCCTTGTGGAAGAGTAAGCGAAGATGCTAGTGTGGAAGCTGGCGATGACTGAGGCGCTTGGGCCGATGGAAGAGCTGCCTCCAGGGAAGGGCAGGCAGGGCGGGCCATGCCTTTGGCCTTAGCGGTTCAGTGTGGAAGATAACGGATTTAATTACCACTTCCCCAAAAGAAAGAGTAGAAGGAAGTACTTCCACTTAATTTTGGACATGAAACTTGAGAACTAGTCTAAGACAAATATCAATATGAATTTGGAATCAGATCAATGATGGTTTCTGTAGGGACAAACTTCCGATGCTGCGATCTCAGCTAAGGATGTGTGGAAACCCAGGAGGATTCAGCCTGGTTCGCACAGACTAGCTTTCAGACATTCCTCCCTCCCCTTGCAGTTAGCGGTTACCAAAGAATCCCACAAAATCTGTTCATTCAAATTCGGGGTCACTTGATGCCTCCTCTGCTGGAAGCTCCTGGAGACCTGTCTCCTCACTGTTTCCCTGCTGTGCTGGACAGCACGCGGTCAGGCTAACAGCTTCTGCCTTTCATACAGTTCTGCATGGAAATCATCAGTATGCAAGGATAATTTTTTTTTAATTTACTTTAGAGCACGTATGAGGTGGGGGCGGGGAGAGGGAGAGAATGAATCTCAAGCAGACTCCACGCTAAGCGCAGAGCCCAGTGTCAGGCTGGATCCCGGGACCCTGACATCATGACCTGAGCCAAAACCAAGGCGCCCCTGCCTTTCTTTTTAAATGTATTTATTGAACTGTGCTAACAATGGTAGAAACAGAAAACACTGGTGTTTTCTCCGTCTGGCTTATCACTACTAACTCAGTCATAGAACTAACGTGGACAGTCGTAGAACTAAAAAACTTAAGAGGAAAGAAGACTAAGAATTCATGTCTATTCCTTTTAATAACTCAAGCAGCCATGACAAAATCAAAACTAAACACAAACCTAAACGCCTCTGTCTAGCGGCAGATCAGGCTACACAGTGCCCCAGTATATAGCCTCCTATTTGCATTGTGGCTAGAGGGTAACTGAATGAGTGGCTGACGACAGGAGAGCCACACACAAAAAAACATGGAAACAGGGCACGGTGTGATATCCTTCTTCAGGAAATGTCAGTTGATATAAAAGGTATTTCTTAGCCCAATTTATTTACATAGTAACTATACATATGTAAGTATTTGCATATTTACATAGTATGGAAGCAGGTACAAACAAGAGAGAGCACCAGGCCGGCCGCTCAGGTTACTCGTTTGCTCTAAACTTCTAGACAAGTCATTCCATGAAGATAAGTGGGTAAAACTTTTAGAAATCGATATAGCCACATAGATCAAATTTCATGTTCTGTCTTGTTACCTGTAATTCCATTTCAACTACACAATCATGCATATAAGGATGCCCTTCACAGTATTGATCACAGATACAAGATCAGAAACAACATAAGTGTTGACTAATAGGACACTAAGTGGTTTTAAGTGTGGCAGAACCGTAAGTGGGATAAAAATGCAGCCGATAAAAGTGACACATATCCCTGTCTGTTGCCATGGAACAATATTAGCAGTACAGAAGTCTTCAGAAGGCTACAAAGCACCATGGTTGATTTTCTTGTCGTGAATACAAACAAAAGTTGGAAGGAGATACACTAACCTGTTAACAGTGGCTCTCACTGGAGAGCAGGGCTCCATGTTACTTTCACATTTTCTCTTGAAGCAGAGTCTGAGAAGCTGGTTTGAATTTAGAAAAGTAAATGTCTATTACAGATCGTGTCTAGGGAAACCTCAGTTGTATACACATACACCAAACCACGCCATCCACAGAAAGGGCATAAAACCACTCACCTAGGAGGAGTGTTAGGAGTCAAAGCAGCAAGCGCAGAGGGAACACTGCAGAGCTGGAGCCCACAGTCTCACGTGATGCTGTGGGCTCCAGTGTCACCGCACCGTCCAGACTGCCAGGTCCAGTAGACTTTAATTTGTACTCTCGGATCTAAATAGTGGCAACTTACTCACCTGGTTTTAAAACACTGCAAATTACCAAAGACATACAGATGGCAATCCATCAAGTGAAAAACTTGCTCGACACTGTATGACCTCATCTGTGACATTTTGGAAAAGGCAAAGCTACAAGGTATGGAGAAGAGATGAGTGGTTTGCCAGGGGTTAAATGTTTGACAACTAGAGTGGAGGTGGTATGAAGACATTTTCTGGGCTGGGGGGTGGTATGGAAAGGTCTTGTCTCTTGACTGTGGTGACAGTTACATGCTCCTCTCCCTGTCCAACTTCATGAGTAAGACTGGAAAGAGACATCAGAGTTAATTATGTCCCTTGGATGGTCAGTTTGTGACTTTAATTATGTTCAAAACCCACTTCCCACACGGTGAACTGCTCATACCCATTCATCTATGAGGTTTGGGAAAGATGAACAAAGCTCATGCATTTCATTCATTGACAACTTTATCAGTCCACAAAATGTCAGCACGGTACTCTTCATTAAAACAGGATCTTAACTTTGTAAATCATTTCATTAATACATTTGAAATACTCAGGGATACAAGTTGATATCACTTCCTATGTATATTTAGAAACGTCATATAAAGGAACCCTATAAAGCTGGTAAACGCTAATTTTTGGTATATGTTTCCCTAATACTTCCTTAAAGCAAAGTTTTTCTGTGTTCTATTCAGGCTGTTGCTTTTGGGTATACTCTCTAATAAACTACTCTTCTGAAATCCCCACAGTCTCTCCTGGTGTCAGGGGAGCGGCTCCCGGTCTGTGAACAATCTGCGTGGGACGCGGAGGAGTTAGGCCCTTTTCTACGCTTGTGCCTCATGGATCAGAATTTTCCCGCGTTTGTGGAAGAGGTAGAAAAGGAACTCAAAAAGCTGACAGGGTTGAGAAATTAACACTCCAACAAAGGAAGCTGAAAGCACTTAAAGTGCTTCCTCCTAAGATTAGATACAAGAATAAAGAGTATTATTCCGAACACCTTTTGTCAATGTTTTATTTTTAAAAACAGGTGAATCCACTTTTTTATACATCATTGCACTTCAACACAAAACACAAGTACATGCATCTATGGTTACACACCGCATGAGAACCCTGCCGGGCGAGAAAATCTACACTCAACCGTTAAAGCAATGTGAAAAATACAGTGTCAACCCCGGAGGAGAGCGAGTTGCATAGAATACCATGCGAGAACATTTCAAGGTCATTGAAAACAAAAGGTAAATTATAAAAGTTTGCCTTAATTGAATGTACAATAAGATTCAACACATCAGTGCAAAAGGATTTAAGAATTTACATGGTTTAACAAAAAAGAATCACTTAAAAAGCAATCATACATATATACTGCAATTCAATATATCCATTCAGTGGAGCGTTCCAGCTTCTTACCAAAGTCGCAGGTTAAGCCCTTAGAACTACAGATTTCAGTTTATATTACTCATCTTTATGTACCAGAACTGCACAATTTCCTCATCTGACAACATACAATAAGGAATGAATATCAGCAGCTAAAAAATGAAACAAGCATTTATTTTATTTTGGATTTCTCCCACCCTGAAAAATATAAATATATATATGTATATATTTATATACTGTATATATCTGTAGGTTTTGCTGTACTTTACAAAAATGTTTTCACTCGATGGCAGCAGTGCGATTGAGAGCTTTGCCAATTTAACAGCTGCGTGAAGTAAAAAATGGCGCATGCACGATCCGATCCTGAGGACCTTTTCACTTCTACTTAAATATTTTAACAAAGGGGGGAAAAAGCAACATTCACAGCACATCAAGCCCAAAATAGTTTACACCTTCTACACTGAAGCATTGTTTAAAATGAACCTGACTAGGTCACCCTTACAGGAAAGGCTAAATAAGGCATGCTTTAGACAGTCGTCGTGGTGTTGCTCACTTGAAAGGGGAGAGAACCAAAGAGGTCCAAGCAGAAAATTTAGCAGGTCATGTTGCCACCAGTTTCAGGAACCTAAAGATCTGTAAAGAGACAGTATGTGGAAATTAAAAGGGAATATGCACCACCACTGAAGACTACACCAAGTGCCACATCAAACAAAGCTTTGGTTCAGACACATGCTCAGGGATGTGGTGTGAAATTCTGATCTCCATGTGCCTACGTGGAAGGCCCTCCAGCCCAGCTGTGCCGGCCACCGTTCCTGCCTGGCCCTCACGAGCAAAGTGGAATTAACTGGCCTCTGGAAATAATCCACACAAGGTGACAATTTTTACCTTTTTAAAGATATGGTTAAATAGTGGTGCAGTCTTTCTAAAACACCACACATACTCTGAAATGGCACTTACAGAGATCTGTGGAACAACACAGCTGAAAATGTTCCTTTCCAGTGGCTGCACTGGACGGAGGACAGAGAAAGAACTTGTTCCATCAGTACTGGCTGCTCGGAAATGAACTACCAAGATCCCACAACGTGATGCCAACTACTGAAGCATCTGTAGCAAGGTCAACAGAGGCACATTCATTGGAATATAATTTTTAAAATTTCTAAAGAAGGACATACTTACATTATAAGCAGTATTTAATTTGTGTTTCTCTGGCGCAAGTTTTTATCTTTGTGATTGTTGGTAGAGTTGGTTTTCCTTTGGAGGAAAAATTGCATTATAAAAGTTAAACTCAAAGTAGCAACTCTTGAAATTATAACACATGGAAATACAGGGATTCTTTCACTTACTACCATCCCTGGTGTAAGAAGAAATTTTACTGCGTACTAATGCGTGAGACCACTCTCTCCATAAAGTGCCTACAGATCTCCGAGTAATCCTTTTGACTCCCAAGATACAATTTTCAGGTACCTCTCCCTCTGATTTATGGACTATAATTACTATAAAGGTAAAAACTGTAGTTTCTTCTCTACTGAACACCACAGTCTCTTCTCAAACGATAACACATGATCACATATGGGCAGTGCTGTGCCCTCTGGCACTTAACCAACTTGGGCAGTTTGCCTGTCACTCCTTAGTCCGCAACTCTAGGAGGTTCTGCTTATCTCGGACGGATTCAGAGTCCGCAGTACCGTCTCCCTCGGACACACGCAACCGTTGAGGGAGCCAGGCAGCTTACCGGTGCTACAGTTCCGCTGGAGGTGAACAAGACTGGAAGTCTCTGATACATACTGGTGACTGCCCCCTGCGTTACCAGTTTGAGCATATAGGATGCGCAAAACTTTATTCCTGCATGGCATTCCACTTTATGTTGTTAGAAAAAAACAAAATTATACTGCCTGTCCTGGGAATCAAATGGTCGGTCAGCCCCAACCGTGCGGCTAGCAAGGTCTACACTACGACACTCACTTCCACTCACTGGTTGCCCACAACCTTTGCTACTCCATTGGATTACACTGCAAATACAAAATAAACTACTGAATCAATGTCCAATAAAATACTTACATTGGTCCAGCTGGTTCATCATCTGTAAGGTGTTCAGATTTTTAATAATCCATTGAAAGGAGAAGAAAGGAGAAAATCGTGAGACTCTACATAAGAATTAACAGAACAGCAAATGGCAAGTGGCAAACATGGCTATTCATAGCATTTATTCAAGGCCATTCCATCTGGAGGTGCAAAAACACTCATGGAGTTATTACTTCTAGATTCAAGTTTTTAATGGCAGGTATGTTGTTTCAATGGTTTTAGTTAACACTTTGAATGCTTGTCATGAAAAACTGCAACTGTAGCGGACAGATAGGCTGCAATATTATTATACTCATCTTGTCCCCAAGTTCCAGTGGTTCACTCTTAAATAGATGAGAAGACAAACCAACATTTCAGTTGTAAAATCCTGCTGTTTGTTTTCTTGGGGTGAATGCGTGTACAGTTTTGGCTCAATCCTGCAAGGTAGATGGATGTGTATGTTCCATACATTAGCCACACATCCTCACTTCCCCAAAGGACACTGCTCTTGCTCTTCTGTAATCTTTAGGAGAGTCTTTCATCTGGAGAAAAGATTGAGGAAGAGGAAGCCACAATAGTTCAACCTAATACTGGGTCAGCCCGGCCGGGCTATGCCCGCAACAAGTGTATGGGTACCAGATGTTCCGTGACACACCAGGGAGAGCTGAATAGTGGTGACATCCCTCTAGAAAAGACTTCAGACAGAAAGACAGGCTCAACTCTTGAGCCCTGGCCAAAACCAGAACCGAAATCCAGATGAGCCATGAGATTTTTTTTTTTTTTTTTTTTTAACCAAAAAGCTTAGATTCTCTGAGTTTAGAAGCCTTCTTAAATTGGTATTTCACGATTGTGATTTGTAAGTTTTTCTTTCCTGTTTGTGGACTGAGGGCAACTTGGTCCCTTTAGGCAGGGAAGTACATACATGGAATGTTTGTTTTAAAGAGGCCCACAAACGGGAGGGAACAGTAAGTGCTCTTAGTTTCTTTCTGTTTTACATAAGTCAGGTAGACTAAATGATTCAGAACAGTTTGGTTTCACTGAAGGCTTCCAGAAAAACTCTCAGCAGGATTCCACAAGGGGGCTTGGTGCACATGAAGCAGTTATGGAGGTCACAGTCTCCGTGTAGGCATCTGCAGGAGCACACGTCAGGAGTAATGTCTGTCACAGGGAGACATTGCTCCACCTGTTCCTTTGAGGCAACGGAGAGGCAAAGCCACTGCCAGCACACACAGTGACTGGAGCAAAAAAAGATTGAAAAACAAAAACAAAAACGAAAACAAACTAACCACAAACCAACGACTTGTCAGCCAGAACAACAGGCGGCGACACGCCAGTGTCCACGGGCTCTACCACAAACACCGCACGCTCTCGGCCAGGTACAGAGAACAAACTAAGACTCAAGGACACCCAAGACAGCTGCGTGCCGTGTGCGCAGTGGAGATATACGGGACAAACCAAGACTGAGACACAAGCCCAGCCTACATCCACTGGCACCACAACGCCCTACGCTCTCAGCATCCAGGCCAAGCCAGCTCAGCTACATGCCAGGAACTAAGCACTTCAGGGACTTAAAGGAAAAGACCCAGGAGCAAATTTAGAATAGTTTCAGTGCTCTGGCTGTGCACCGGAAAACAGAACATTCTGGAGCAAGATAACTGACTAGAATATCACCAGTCTACACCCAGCATGAAAAGAAAAAGCAGGGGAGGGAGAATCGCGATAGCCAAGCTAATCTCCTCAAAGCATGACACTGTCCGCACTGACCCAGGCACTTTACACGCAAGCTTTTCTTTCCTTTGGTGGCAGAGGGGTAGGCCCTGCTGTCTGCCCAGTGACGTCATCTTCCAGCCCAACAAGCTGGTACCGTGCAAAGGGCTGCATGTAGGGATTTTAGCAACAGCGGCTCTGGTGCAGCTGCCATGCCTGCAGGTGGGAGCAGGTGCTGCTCACACTAGTGTATGGATCTCGCATCGTCTCTCCCCCCAGTGCACGTTTACAAGGAACCCAGAAAACAGTCTCATGTCTCCTACTGTCCTGGGCTGAGTCACTATCTGCAAGCACCACTCTTCCTTCACGAGTCAGACAAAACAAAACAAAAAACAAAACAAAACAAAACAAAACAACAACCTGACCCTAACAGGGAAATCAGGAGAGAGGAAAGAACAGAACTACAGAAGAAAAGGTACGAAAATCAAAAAGTAAATGAGGATTAAACAGCAAACTGAAATCCAAATTAGTTGTGAAAGTGAATGAAGTAAACTTGAAGAAAAGTGTTAACATTATGAACTGTGCATCGTATAGACTGAAGCGGAGATTAAACAAACTCCAAAAGCATGCATATCGCTCACTTACCACCATGTTTTAAGGGTATGATGCAATTGAGGGGGGAAAAAAAAGAAGTCATAGTAACCGACAAATATCAACATACCCCCAAACCCTCAGGCCAAAAGATAGCGGCTTAAACTGGCTCTCCTCTTCGCCT